TATTTTGTCTCACCCTGTTTAACTTTTCGGGTCAAATTTCAATTTGGTTTAACATACAATTCCTTCCCAGTTCCTGTAATTAAATATTAGGCTATACAAGGTCAACTAAAATTTAGGTAGTTATCGAAATTTAAAATTTACTCTTCATTTTCACAAAATGTGAAATATGTCAAAATCCTTAGATTTTAGGTATATGCTTCTTTAATAAAACTCACCTTTATTTTTTTCCTAGAATGCGAAAATCAATTAATATATAAGGTGTTCCATTAGAAAAAACACAACTTTGATGTGTAATTTTTTTGGGACACCCTGTATAATTCTATATATTTTTATAAAATGCTTTCAGTTAACCTACATAAGCTCCCAAAATTTCATTTTGATATAAACTACCGTTCTCCTTGGAGCTTCCGCGGCGTATGAGAAGCGCCACCCTGTACTTTGTGAGCCGATTTTGATGATTTTTAAGCAATATGTAGCTAAATTATTTGAATTGTTATTGATTCTTAATTAAACAAATAATTAAAAACTAAAAAATTTTGTTATTTAGTTTTAATGTAAAAATTTCGGAAACAAAAACTTCGGAACTTCTTCAAAAGCGAATATCTCCAAAAAAATAAACCTATTGAGATTAACTAAAAAAATAATTGAGAAAGGATGTACCTAGCTTATTTTTTAAAATCGTTCCTCTCTTAACATATTCCAGAGGGTGTTTCAAACTTTCATCAAAATATCAACTTTGTTTTCTCTCGTAAAATTGACGGACGGGAACTTTCATTTTTAATTTAGAAAGAGACACTAAAAAGTCAAATAATTTAGCTACCAATTGCTTAAAAAATCATCAAAATCGGCCCACTAGAACAAAATATATTAAACTTTAAAATACATCAAAGTTTTAAGGTAACACTTTTAAAATTTGAGATTTTTTGCAGAATGACATTAAAATCTTCGTTGAAATTTAATTAAAACTGAATATACATACGTACTTAATAAAATTTATTATCAATAGATGGCGAGAGCCTTAGATATAATTGAAAATGAATGCTACTATTTTATTAAAGTTAAAAATTGAATTCCTTTTATTCAGTGGAATGTGTTTAAAATTATTGGAATATTTGATCCGAAATAAAATATTTCTTCGATAATATTCGTTGATGGTCTACATATCCATCTACCCTCTCCATTTAGAAATTCATTTTTAAATCCATTACTGCTTTGTTGCTTAATAAACGCATACCATTATTATATATTTTATTAGCATTTTTAATTTTTCTTTTTTTAAATAAATCCATTTTTATTTGAAGTTAACATAGAAAATCTCCGAAAAATTGTAAATCATGATATCTATTAACTGCTATACGGTTAGAAAAATCCTTCTTCCTTTGGAAAAAGTGTACACTGTCTCATATTTGCTGTACTACTTTGCAATGGCAGCAAGACTATTACCGGTCATTTTGTCATCTTGTGTAACCATTTTTATATTATTATACAAAGTGGCACACCTCATTCACCTCTGTTGACGATACGAAAACGGAAAGATGTAGAAAAAAATTTATGGGAATATGTGGGGAAGCAATGTGCATATTTAAAATTATACAGGGTGTTTTAGATCTAAGATTCATACCAAAATTATATTTTTTCTTATGGAACACTCTGTATTTTATTTTAGTTTAGGATTCTTGGACCTAAAAAAGGCATTTATTATAGGGGTTAAATATGTTTAAAATCTTTGGTTTTTGAGATATTTAAAGACATTTAAATATGCATGCTGCAATAGAATAGATTATCAACACCCTGTACATTACTTTTCAGAATTAATTCTTGTGTTGAGTTTAAAGGTAGAGAAATACACTTTACAGGAAAATTTTATTGCTTTCTTAAATTTATACAGAGGTACCAAAAATTGTTGATCTATTTTAAATATTTATTTTACATAAAAACTTCGTTATTTCAAATGCAACACCCCCTATTTTTATAAATAAATTGAAGCAGATTCAAATGCTCTTTCAAACTGTATTATATATAAATTATATTCAGAAAGTAGTCTCGACTGACTAGTGAGAAAGAAAATCTAGGAAGTAGTGGGGTTGCAGTCGAAAGGTAGAACCCTTCCTAGTTCCTAGAATTTCTAAATTATATTCTATACCTATCTAGCTCAGATTTGGAACAAAAAGCGATTTTTTAATAAAATGGCAATATAGATGGCTGGTATCATCATAACAATTTTCTAGTAGTTACAGTAAGACAGTTAGTAACTATTTTTAAAATCGACATTAGTTTATGGGCTTTATTATTTAAATGCATAGAAGTTTACTTTAGTTTACCTACAATAGTTTAATAAGTCAGTATTCATTATTTTATCAAGAATAATAAAGCAGTATCTGCTGGCAGAACCAATGGATATCTTACAACTACAAGTGATTTTATTTTGTGAGAAAAATTGCTTGTTGGCCTTAAAGGCCTATGCTCAAAGCTCTCAGATATAGCTAGATATAGCCAGAAAAACTAAATTTTTCCTATTTGGCAGTGTTGGTGGTGTGGTATATTATGAAAAACCTATTAGGCAGAAACCTGTCGTTAGAAGTAAAGAAAATTAATTTGCCATAATTTTGGTAATTTGGTAATCTAATAACATATCTACAAGTCATCGTAAAATAAATGAAGGAACTACTTCTTCCTTTTTCTTGATAAAATAATAAATACATATATTTAATAAGTATTATTTATTAAACTATCGTAGGTAAATTAAATAAAAGTAAACTACTATAAATTTAAATAAAGTATAAAACTAATTTCGATTTCAAAAATAGCTACTGTCACTAGAAACTTGCCATGACGACACCAGCCCTCTTGGTTTGGTTTTTATTGAAAAGTCGCTCTAGGTATAGGGTAGATAAGCTAGATAGGTATAGGAAAAATAATATAGGAATTAAATGCCCTCAAAGGGCATTTAATTCTGTTTTAACTTGTCTAAGAAAATACAGAGTATTGTTTTAATATAACGAAGTTTTTATGTAAAATAAATATTTAAGAAAATAAATAAGGAAGACCAGCAATTTTTGATACCCCTGTATACATTAAACGAAGCAATACATTTTTTCAGTTAAATTCATTTCGCTAGCTAAAAAGTTAGAACAAGGATTAATTCTGAAAAGTAATAGACAGGGTGTTGACAATATTTTTTTATTACAGCATGCATATTTAAATATCTCAAAAACCAAAGCTTGTAAACATATAAATGCCTTATTGTGTGTCCAACAATCCAAAAATGAAATAAAATACGGAGTGTTTCATAAGAAAAAATATAACTTTGATGTGAATCTTAGTAATAAAAATATTCCAAAATAATTTTAAATTATATTCATATTGGCCTTCCCACATACAGGGTCCGGCAATAGTGCGTCGGGCATCTGTAGATCCTAGAATACAAAACTTGGAAATTTTGTTTAAGTGTAAACCTAAAGTATGTACAAGGATATATTTCAGGAAAATATTCTATTGAGTGGCTCATAAAAGTGTGGGTGGATCAGGATGATTTTTTTTAAATGGAACACCCTGTATATTATTGCATTTTTGGCTTCCTTTCAGATAACTTTACATAATCCTAAGATATGAATAAATACATTTCTATAGTTTCAGAGATATTAATAAATAAATAAAAAAATTATATTTTTCAACCTTAATTAAGAAAATATATTACAAATACAAGAACTGTCCTGAAATCAAAACTATATTAGGTATTTACTTTAGATGGTCTTTACTTAACTTTGCTATAAATATCGTAATCTTAAATCATACAGGATGTTCAAAATTCTACGCCAAACTTTCTATAATATAAAGTCATTTTTCTTTGTTTTTTTTTTAAATAAAACACCAAATAATAATGTATATTATTTTTTACATAATGTATATTATTTTTTTATTAGATGGAGAATTAAAAAATGAACATTTTTTGTATTTAAAGTATTTCAAAAATTTTAATGGTTTGGCAGTAACACGCAGTATTATTTCATATGGCTGTCTCAATGGTAAAATACGAGAGAAAAATCACTGGGTGGCTTTGATAAAAATTTACAATGGTTTTCCATGCCATATGAAATATAAAACCGCGAATATCTCCAAAACCGTTAAAAAATTTCAAATACTCTAAATACAAAAAATGTTCATTTTTAATTCTCCATCTAATATAAAAATAATATACAGGGTGTTCCATTTAAAAAACCAAAGAAAAATTATTTCATATTTTAGAAAGTTTGGCGTAAAATTTTGAACCTCCTGTATGATATACGATTACCATATTTATAGTAAAGTAAGTACAGACCATTTAAAGCAAATATCGAATATAATTTTGATTTCAGGACAGTTCTTGTATTTTTAATATTTTTTTTAAGAAAGGCTGAAAAATATATTTTTTTTATTTATTTATCAATATCTCTGAAACTGTCGAAATATATTTACTTATATCTTAGGATTAGGTAAAGTTATCTGAAAGGAAGCCAAAAAAGCAATAATATACAGGGTGTTCCATTTAAAACAAATCATTACGATCCACCCACACTTTTATGAGCCACTCTATAGAAGTTAGAATATTTTCCTGAAATACATCCTTGTACATACTTTAGGTTCGCACTTAAACAAAATTCTCAAGTTTTTTATTCTAGAAGCTAAAGATGCCCGACGCACTATTGCCGGACCCTGTATACCCATATAATATTTTGTTTCTACATCAACCGAGGCGAACGAGGTGCGCCACCCTGTATATTGTTGTGCTTGACAAAAATCTTTTGAATTTTTTCCAAAGAACAGAGGTTAGATTTTATGTTTCAAAATTAGTTGGGAAATTTCTACTTTACATTGAAATTAAAGAATACAAATTTTTATTTTGTCAATGACATGCGATGACAAAACTGTAACAATAAATAATTCAAATAATATAAATAAGTAATAAACAATTATTAATTTAATTCAAATTGTATTATGTAAATAAATGAAAAAGTACATACCAGAAAAGTTTTCATGACTAAATATATGATCAAAAAAAGCTGAGTGATTAATACTAACGACAGATGATCAATGCCGGTTTCTTTTATACTTAATTCCTCTAATTGATGTCTTCTCGCGCGTGTCAAAAATTTATTTTGGGAGAGGGTATGACTTCTTCCGTAACTTGGTAGAAGAAGAAATCTTTGTTCAAGATGTACCTAAGTACTGCGGGTACTACGTAACCTACGAGGCTCGGCGAATAACATTTAGGCAAGAGTGAAAATCGGCAAAAGGTTGCGACCTCTAATACGAGCCGCTCGTTGTCCTAATGTCATTAATTTGATTGAATTATAGATGAGAATAATAAGGTATTATGTTTAAGGGGCAGTGGCGCTCAATGATAAAAAATTTAAGGTATAACAAAATATAAGATCAGAATGTACGATAAAAAGCGATAATGAGTATGTACAGGGTGGGTCAAATTGGAGGCTTTTAAAGGGAAACACCCTTTTCTATAAGAGATAGACGAAAACTAATATCGGTATCTGAGCTCAATTTCTATCAAAAACATGATGTTGAAAACCGCACATTGATATCTGTTACCGTTTCCGAGCTACGGGGTGTTTTTCAAAAAAAAAAAATTCAACAAATCGCTGCAACTCTTTTGCTATGGAAAATTTTGTATTTTTGTGAAAATATTTCCAAAGCACCTTTTTACGTAGAATTTAATAGTTTAAGTATATTTTTTTTTATAATTAATAATTTAAGAATTTTCAAAATAAATTTTATTTTTTTTTAATTAATTGAAAAAAAATAAGATTACCTTTCCAAAAATATAGCATACCTACTTGATATTTTGCTCGATTCCCTCTTCGAGATATAGAGATTTTAAAAATTTGCCCACTTTGAATAAGTAGGCTTTGAACGGCGCAGTCTCTAATGCAAAACAGTTCTGGCTGTGAGCAGCAGTTAAAACGAAAATAATATTTGCAATGAGATATGCAGAATTTTATAACAATTTAAACTATATTTAACAACATCAACACATTTAAACTATAACTGATAACAATAAAAATTAATAGCAAACCTAGACATGAGATTTTGCTACAGGTGTTCGACATGTCGACCGTCTTCTATTATGGCCATGGCCAGAGCCAGAGACGTGTAACGTTTTTAGTTCGTTACATGTCTTTTTTAAATATAATATATGATGTCTGGCCTATCATCACCGGATTCCCTCTCGTTCAGGCCGGATAGTTTATTTGACGCGTAATTTTTACGTTCCCTAGTCTCCAACCCTGTTATCGTTCGACACAACCCTGTTATCGCTCTGAGGAGGCGCTGTCAACATCGCTTCTGTCAACTCTCTCCGTGCTTAACCTCACTTGGTTTTGACGCTCTGTTGTATCCCAGCTTTTATAAATGGTGATTATTTAAATCTTGCTGTATAATTTGAATCAGCTGCTATTTCGAGGCTACAGGGTAGAGTTACGGATGTCCCAACTTGTATTTGTGTTTTGCTGGCACGTTGGCGTCCCTTTTCTTTTGTCCTCCAGAATGTCACATGGAAGAAAGGACATGTTGTTTATTATTTATTGAGCCCTCGGAAGTATTTCGAGGGTCCAAGGTACGGACTGTGTCCAAGGTACGGGTAGTGTCTTATGTACGGACATTATCTTATGTACGGATGTCCTGTGGAAGAGTGTCCCCAGTAAGAACGATTTTTTCTTACATATAAGTGCCACAGCGTGGATGTAGCTTGAGTCCCATGCTGCTTCGTTCCCAGCTGTAAGCTAGTTAGTTACGGCTGTACCAATTCATGGTGCCCTCATTCTGGCTCCTTTGGTTGTGTTGGATGGCTGAGTACAGAGATGCGAGACCACCTCACGCTGTTACTGTTTAAAGCAGGATTGCATAAAGAACAGCTAAGTGTAGATTTAAGTTATAGTTTTGCATTTAACATTCAAAACATTTACAGTCTTAAACAATAACGTACATCTTAAATAATATCGTATAGACTATGTTGAGTGGTTAGATTGTTAAGAACATTCATGTCGATTTAGTAGTTAAAATATAATTTAGATCTTAGGTTTCATTGCATTATGTCTTGTAATAGTATTACTTTTTTATAGATATTATTATTGCACTAACATCATATATATATAAAATATATCAAATTAATTAAAGTAATGCTACATAATTTCATATAATCTCTTAAACTTTAAATGTCTTGTATTTTATCAGTTGCTTTCATAGATATTTAGTACTCTTACCACCACTTTCTTTGACATATAACCACTACATATTCACTAGAACTCTACAATGTCATGTATCACCAACGAACATCATGAGTAAATATAGTCATTATTTTTAGTTAACATAGAACTGTGTTTTCTTTCTCTGTACATGCCTGGCGCCCAATATCTATTTTTTTGTTTATTGTTCTTAATTAGTTTTCTTTCCAGTGAAATACCTTATCCACGACTGCTCTCCGATGAAAAGCCGCCGTTCGCAGTGGTAGTTCTAAAAAAAACGCTACAAACGGAACCGTTTTTGAACATTTCTCGCGGAATTCATTAACCCAGTGGGGGTGAAAGATACCCTCGCATAACTGCTAAGTATTTCTAATTCTTGATTATACGGTCAATTTCAAAATAAGAACCTTTTATTCTTCCGCAAAGATAAAAATCCATAGGCACTAAGTCCGGCGGCCTCGGTGGCCTCGACGATCAACGGCTGGGATCTTGGTTAGCTAATCAATTATTCTCGAAATTGGCTACAAAAATTTGCTGATAACTTCAGCGTTCTGAGACGGTGCCTCGTCTTGTTGGAAAAAGATGTTTTCGAGTTCCATTAAGGGCAGATTATCAATAAGGGGTCCAAAGCCTTGTTAAAAGTGACGAACTTTTAAAAATTTTATATTTCGAAGAGGATTATAACAAAATATTAAGTGTGCTATATTTTTGGAAAGGTAATTTTAAGTTTTTTTCACCTAATTAAAAATATACAGGGCGTCCCAAATAAAAATCAATTTTTCGGTTGATAACTCTTAAATTATTAATTTTTAAAAAAATATACTTTTACCATTAAATTCTACGTAAAAAGGTGCTTTGGAAATGTTTTGACAAAAATACAAAATTTTTCATAGCAAAAAAGTTACAGCGATTTGTTAAAGATGCATTTTTTTGAAAAACACCCCGTAACTGATAAACTGTAACAGATATCGATGTGCGGTTTTCAAATCATGTTTTTGATAAAAATTGAGCTCCAGACGCCGATATTAGTTTTCGTCTATCTCCTATAGAAAAGGATGTTTCCCTTTAAAAGCGTCGAATTTGACCCACCCTGTACAGTAGTTGATGATAAACTGTTCTTCTGCAAAGGTACTTTTAGCGATTTTTTAAATACGCCTCGAAGCCATTTAAATTATAAAGAAATATTGAGACCTCTGAGGTCGACATGTATCGAATTGAAGGTTGATGTCGCAAAGTGCTATGAGAACTATTCAAATCATTATGTGACTGTTTTATGACATACCATCTACAGGGTGTTTCTTAAGTACTCTATTAGTCTAAAAATACTTCCTTTCTTATCTATAGGGTGTTAAAAATTTAAAAAGAAATTGAATTTCTTTCAACATGTCGAAAACTACTTAAATCTTTTCTTCAATTTTGGTATGTGGTTTCCAGGTATAAAAGGTTGATTTTCATTAACTGTTGTTTTTCTACTTGAATACGTGGCGCCAGTACGCACACACCCCTGACCTCTGGATTATTTGGTTAAAATACATTTTGTTGCTTTTTTCAACAAAACAATTCTTTTTCTTGATTGATTTTTCTTTCCCATCCTTGTTGGGTTGACCTCTTTTTGAAGTTTTTCTTGAACAGGGTGGTCGAAATTGGTCTGTTTTAACAGAGAAAACCTATTTCCTGACTAGATAGAGCAAAACCGATATAGATATTTTGGGCTCGATTTCTGAGACACGTTTAATGGCGTAAACAGCCTGTTGATATTTTCACTGCCAACTGAGATACGGGGTATTTTTGTATTTTTGACCATTTTGAAAATTGCTCATAACTTTTTTATTTTGCAGAACAATAAAATTCTGTGAAAACGTTCTTAAGGCACTTTTTTAAGCACAATCCAGTGGCGTAGTGCATAAAAACACTTTTTACGCATAAAAAAAAACAATTTTTACGCGTCAAAAAAAATATTTTTAATTTATTACTTTTTCAACATTTGCATTTTTTCAACATTGCCAACATTGCATCAAATTTAATAACGGGATCTCATCTTAGAAATCGCCAAAGACGCTACAGAAACGTCTTTTGCGAGACACTCCGAACACTACACGCTTTTGGTTGGGTCATTTCTATACAGGGTTGTTCACCACATACGACACGGAGTATTGTAGCTAAACGACAAGATTTTTACAAATTGTAAGTTTTGGGTTCGTTGAAGGACTATTAGAGCTACAATTTAAAAATATTTTTACAAGATACGGAGTGTCCCAAATAAATAAAAAATATCAAAGTTGTATTTTTTTAAATGGAACACCCTGTATATTATTGCATTTTTACTTTCTACGATTAAAATAAAGGTAAATTTGATTAAGGTTTATTACACTTAAACCTTACCGTTTTTGAAATATTTTCAATTTTGTGAAATTGCAGTATAAATTTTAAGGCTTCATTTCTCCGAGGGTATCAAAGTTTTTAATACTAAATATTTACTGAAGTTTATTTATTGGTCAGTTATTGTGTTGCAATAATAAAAACTTTATTACCTTATACAGAGTGTCTAAAAATTTATTTTAAATAATTACTAGCTTTAAACGGCAATAACTTGTTTGATTTAAATGAAAAACCCTGTATATTTTATGAGAATCAGATGCACAATTTAATTGTCTATCAAATTGTGTTATACCGTTTTTTACCTATGTCTTCAAGTTTCCGTAGAAAATGCATTTTCTTGTAATTTAGAACTCATTTATCAATATAAACATGGAATACTGACATTTTAGGTTATTTTTAAAGATGTACCAAATTTTTAAAGAGTACAAATACTAATATTGTCGATATAGTTCGT